TGTGGGAGGGACTGGGGGTACAGGGGTGCAGGACTGGGGGAACTCAGGGGGGTCAGGGTTGGGGGTGCTGTGGGAGGGGCTGGGGATACAGGGGTGCAGGCCTGGGGGAGCTCAGGGTGCACAGAGCTGGGGGGCTGAGCTGGGGGGACCCCCCTATCTTGGGGGTTGGGCCATGGCAGGGATTGGGCCTTTCTTGGCTGGCGGGATGACCCCTCCCCCTCTGCCCCCCCCAGAACCCCCCAAAATCCACCTGGACTGCTCGGGGAAGACGGCCGAGAACACCATCATCGTGGTGGCAGGGAACAAGGTGCGGCTGGACGTGCCCATCACCGGGGAGCCCGCGCCCACCGTCTCCTGGATGAAGGGCGACCAGGTGGGTGCTGGGGCCGAGGGGTGGGGGGTCTCTGAGTGGGTGGGGGGCTCCTGGGGGTGGGGGGCTCTGCCAGGAGGGGGTGAGGGGTACCCCAGAGGGAATCGTTAGGGGTGGGGGTCCCGGGGGGGCAGAGGTTCCCCGGGCACTGAGCCCCCCCCGGCCCCCCCAGGTGTTCACGAACACCGAGGGCCGCGCCCGCATCGAGGTGCACCCGGACGAGAGCAGCTTCGTGATCGACAGTGCGGAGCGGGGCGACGAGGACAAGTACTGCATCACCGTCACCAACCCCATGGGGCAGGACAGCGCCGTGCTGCACATCAAGGTGGTCGGTAAGAGGGGGCCGGGGGGCAGGGCTGGGTGGGGCTGTGGGGTGGGGGCTGGGCAGGGGGGCTGGGTTGGGTAGGAGGGCTCTGGGCAGGGGGGTTGAGCAGGGGGCTGGGCGGGGCTGTGGGGTGGTGGGCTGGGTGGGAGGGCTGGTGGGGCGGGGGGCTGGGTGGGAGGGCACTGGGGGGCTGTGGCTGGCCGGGGGCCATGCAGGAGTCCTCGGAGAGTTTGGGGAGTGCGGGTGTGTTGGGCTGGGTCATGGGGGTGCTGATTGGAGCTGCCGGGGTGAGGTCACAGAGGTTGTGGGGGGCAGGGTGGGGGAGGTGCTGATTGGGGGTCGAGGGAGTGTCACAGGTCAGGGGGTCGCGGCCGGGGTCACGGGATGGGAGGCCCTCCCTCCCCATGCCAAGCTGGTCTCAGTGTCCGCCCCCCGTGTCTTCCAGATGTTCCCGACCCCCCCGAAGCTGTTCGCATCACCTCCGTGGGGGAGGACTGGGCCATCCTGGTCTGGGACCCCCCTAAATACGATGGGGGAAATCCC